TATATATATATATATATGTTTTATTCACGTTTTTTCGTAAATTTGAGTATGGCACTGGATTCCATAAACACATTGATGCAAAGTGAATTAATTATGGATGATATAGGACCAATTAACTCATCCTTATCCAAAGTTTCAATCATCGTTAAATTGTTTGTTGTGCTTCAGAAACTAGTTAAGTATAATTGATTCATTGACACTGTTCATGCTATCGCAACATTAACACAGTCTTTTGACTGTTTCATATCAACAGAAATATAGCGGTAAGTGTACCGCATGACCTTCGTTGTGAAGTTCCTTTCTGTTCAGCTAAAGTTTCCACACTTACTGAATCGCAGCTCTTTTACTTGTGAATCGTTCATCTGGAAGCATTTTCAAAAAAATGAGGTAGAAATGATGAACTGGTGTTATATATTTCCTTTTTCTGACTGTATCAATCACTTGGAAAATGAAGCAGAAAAGCCCAGTACTACTTGAGAAATGTTTTGATCGCGTCGTGACGAAAGATAGTATAGAAGCAGTTGCATTCAGCACATTTAAAAATTATGAATTTCCACGCACAAACTGAATTCGTTCTTTGATGAAATTCGACCTAGAAATTGAATTCAACGATTTTGAGTTAATCTTCGAAATATTGTTAGATGGTAGGAAATACTTACGTGTACTCAAACCCTGACCGTTACAGGCATTTTCAATTTTATAACATTCGAGCGTGTCAAGAAACAATCGCATCATATCAAAGAGCTCAGTTGACAACCACTGAGAATGGTCGAAATATGCACTTTCAGCTGACAGCTGTCAAGTAGCAGTAATTACAGAAATAAAAGTGTATCTAACGTCACTGAACTGGTTATTCATAAGTCTAATCTTGTGCTCACATGCTGCTGAACTGATTATTTATTAATTCATCCATCTAATTAATAACTCCTTGATTTAATTATTCATAAACTGACTGAAATAACGCCAAATGGTTCAGTATTATTTGACAGAGACTTCATAAATCGATTTTAGCTGCTGGTACATCGAAATGCTTTTCACCGCACTCGTCAGCTTTGCTGAAATCCACAACGAGTGCAACAACAACGGCGATAAAACAACAGAGCGAATCTGAAGCACACAATCTGCGTAAGAATCAGTGGCGTTTTTTTAAACACGCTGCATTCTTCAACAGTTCAACTTCAGTCAAGAAGCCAAAAGAGAATAGCGGTGAAAGGTAAATATTATGAGATTGCATTCATGATGAATGATTGTTTGAACACTCATCTTTTGCTTACAATGAACACCGCAAGAAATACGGCCACTTAAACACAGAATAATAAAATCAAAACACAAATACTCCAAAACTCTCGAATAATCATGCGCATGGTTGATTGCATATATCCTTAAAATATCATATTTTCGAGCAGCATCAGTGAATATGCATGCTGCAGAAGCAGCGTCATTCATTATCGTATTTTACGAACAACGATCGCCAAAATTTCTGCTTTCAAAGCTGTTTGAGTTTCACTTCAATTGCGGAATTTGGGTGACCCTTTGATATGATGAAAGAATGCAAGATTTTTTCACTCAATCATACCGAATGAGAATCATGCGTAAAGATTTTGTGCTAAGAAAAGATAAAAATCCGTTCAGGATAATACATAACAGGATAATACATAATACAAAATAGTACGAGTGAATGAAAATGTAAGTGGTATTCATTTGCAACATTATTTGTCTCAATTTCATTGATGCTCAAAATCCGTAATTTCTTTCTTTCTTTCCGATATTCTGAAGTATTGTCCTGGCATAAAAAGTATGCCCTGATCAGCATGGAATGCACTTAAATTATGGTTGAATAGTACAGTACTTTCACTAGTTTCCGAAAAGTTCGATAAGTTAATGCAGTAAATGAATCGAGAGTAATGTTTTCAGTGTTGTCACCTTAAGATCATACTTCATAGATACTTCTTGCATTATGAATTCTCTAATACGTCTATGTCATTCGCATTGTATTGACAGATCTCCTTAATCTGTCTGACAAAGCGGCAATACCCATTTACATCCAGACTAGCGATATAAATTTTCAGCCTGATTTATTCTGCAGATTTCAGTTGAAAAGAATTGGATTAGTTGGGATCGTTCTTGCAAATCTTGTTTCAAGTTCATCATTTCTGATGAATGTGTAGAGAAGATCCTATGCTGTGAGAATGGTTGCTAAGAAGAATATGAAGAATTTTGTTGAGATGAATTTGAGGATATGTGGCATGTGCTAGAAGATTTGAAACAGAATGGATTCGTTTTCATGATAATTTCAAATCGATATTCATTTTGCTTTCCATACTCAGTTGATCATGAGTCAGCGAAAGATGAAAAACTTCTTGTAATGAGCTCAAAAACCATGATCTTTCATATCTTGTTGTGACTACAAAGTTACAATGTAACATAACTTTCACTTTAATTGTTGCTTATTTGCATACTTAGCGAGCGCAATTTATTTTAGTCATACTCACATAGCCACGAGCATCCAAATCCGCTGTAAGGATAGCCACTGCTATGGTTTGGTTTCAAACGAAGAAAAAGCTTTTCATTTTTTGCTGAATATCATTTCAAGGGAAAGCAGTTAAATCATAATAAACGTTGATCAGAGAATCATTGGTTCTTTCATCTCTCAAGAAAAGGTTGATTCTCTCAAATTAAATTAGCCTGAGGAAAATTCGCTGGGAATTTTAAGTGTCCATCAAACTGAAACGTTTTCAATTTAGTATGAGAAATTGTGAATGATGGCAATTCGTAGAAAGCAGCATATATTTGTAAAGCATGAATGAGACAGTTGAATGTAAAGTAGCGCTATATCCTAAAATCAGAAGACGATTGCATTCGAATCGTATAAGGATGTAATGTCTCTAACACATATAATTCTTTCCAGTGTGCATCTATCTATCTCTGAATTGCTATTGCGTTCCATATAAAGAGCTAATCGAATTTGCTTGCACAACATGTATTCATTACTAGCATTTTTATGCATACTTAACGATTTCATTCAAATCTAGCACTAGTTTGTGATATTTACACGCCTTTCTGTTGATATCCGAATCATTCACATCAGATCACGCCAGTAACCTAAGACATGGAATGAATTTTTCTTTCCTGGATTATGCTATAAGTTCATGATCAGCTTTTGAGTTCTCTTGAGAACGCGACGGCATTTCATGGCAGGAAGTCAACAATATTGCTGAATAAACATTCCTACGATGATTGATTCACCGTAATTAAACGTTGATACGGATCTAAGCTGCCGCGATTGCGCGTGCAACTACTACGTTATCAAGTATGGTGCAAAAATCCAACTGTTTGAAGGAATTTGTTTCAAACATTGTATGCCATTCACTTATGTTTGTAAAAAAATTCTTGCCACATTGTTTAACTTTTTGTCAAGTGTAACCTCGTACAATAAAGCGCTATTGAGGAGCATAATCTTCCAGAAATGAAATGTTTCAGAAGAGCTATATTGGTTGGTGGAATAACGACAAATGACAAGTCAATTTTTGATTGATTCTATCGTTTCTGCTAACCGATCGCGTTCACGAACGTCGAATAGAAATAACTAAAAACTGATATAAACAATGCTCATTCAAATATCTATTGAATGTAGTTTTAGTCTTTTGAATAAAACAAATTTAGAATTCTACAACTATTTCGGTATTTTCTCTTCGACAATACGCCAATAAATATTATTATCAATCTCCAGTATCATCACCATCTTATTCATATAATTCTAGGAATCAATTCTCTACTGACAAATCGCTTCTGCGTCGCAATTTTGAAAATTCTTCCACGTTTCACTTATGAGATTTATTCTGAAACGCTTTCAATTAACGAAAGCAATTTCTTGATCGCTCGGAATACTATGCCTAATTGTAAGCAATAATGAAACTTTCGTATCCCTTCTACATTTCTTGTCCTCAATTCATCAATACTTATTCCATTGCATGCATTTTCAAGTTGAATACCAGTGTACCAAAGCTTCTCAGCGTGTTTGTGGCCTTCATTTCATTTTCCGTTCAACTGCGACAATGATGATTTGGCAATTCCAATACGTCTCTTTCGAATGGACCTAGTGAGCTATGCTCAAGTAAATAACTTCTACAAATTACTGCTTCATCAAACATTATTGCTGCAAGCAACTCAAATGACTGCCATCAATTATGATAGTCGTTCATTCATGCAGAAATGACAATTAATGTCTGAAATTGCAAAAAGTTGTCGTGAGTGTCATTGCAACGAAATCACTTTAAGAGGCTCTTTGAAAAGTGCTCTTTTAAAGAACTGGAAATAAAGATCTTAGCAGAATTAGAGGTCAGGTTTTCGGCAGAAATGAAGTTCAGATTGTTGAGGCTAGCTGCTGAGGATCCAGAATTGATTCGTACGAAAAGTGATCGTAAATGCAGTGGTGGCAGATCTTTTTTCAATTAGATGCATGTTGGCTCAATAAAAGTGCATAGAAAAGAGTTAGTTGGTGATGCGGTCGTTGGTGAATGGATGTATGGATGATGCAGGATCAGTATAAGAGGTTTGGCATCGAGACCATACAAATACGAAAAGAAAGCTTTCATTGATTGAACGCTTGTAATTCGCTCATGAAAATGCCAAACAACGTGCGGCAACAATCTTTAAATTTTTCTTTTCATTTACAATCATCAATTCATTCGCCATCCACACCACCAATCAATTTTATTCTCTCTCGCTCGTTTCGTCCTTTTGACTTAGTTTCTGTTGATGATCATATTTCATTTTTAAAAATCCAAAGATTTGGATCCCACTGAAAAAGAGACAATCACAACTGACTAGCCATCAAGTTTCGTAGTGTTGCAAAACAGCGATAAAATTTCATTCTCGTTTTCCATGTCATGAAATGTTGTGTTCTGTTTCGCTGAATTCCTGCGACATCATCTCTTACAAATAAACACTAGAACATTTGAACGTTTTAATTTTGTCGCTTGCAGTGGGTATGGAAATAAGTAACTTTCGTTAGGATTAATTATACGAATCAGAGAAGCAATTCGTTTCGCTTTGCTTTGAATATTTCATGCGTCAAATTTGACGCTTCATGAGTTGGTTCGATAATGAGGGTAATATAATGAGGGTAATACGATACTGTATTTGAGTTAATGCATTAACTCTGCATTTGATCTGTAGGATCAATATCAAATTTTTTTCAATTTTAGACTACTTCCAAAATTCACATTGCGTCATCCGTCAGTTGACGACTCTGCAGTGCCACTGCACGTTGACATCGACGAAACGGAGGAACCGCTTATGATGCATTCGAATCGAATGTGCACTAATTGTGATGCATATAGGGTTGGTAATCTTGATGTTAAAACATATTTGTCAAAAAATGAAAGAATATTGAATAGGGTGGGAATTCAGTGAAACTTATTGCTTATCCTTGTAGCTGAGCTGTAACTTAATTGAGCGAAACGAAACATTAGTTACAAATTTGATTTGAGAGCATCAGCTCGAAGTTGGACTGAAATGTGCATGGTAAAGAGTCTTATGGGAAAACAACTGAAGAGAATATAAGTGGGAATAGGAAAATTAGTTGTCGATGAAGTATTATAGCATTGTTTACCTCTGCATCGTTAAACTTTAATCGCTGCATCGCAATATGCATTAGAGAAGTGCAGCTGAAAGATGGCATGGAACATGGTGAAATTTATCTGACAACATTGACTGTGCAATTGAAAATTTTATGGGGGTGAAACATCAAATGATTGTTTGGGTAGTATTTCGAGTATGTGTCCATAAAAGTCATTGAAGTCTCGATCGAGTGAACGAGGCGATTCACACGAATCATCAGGTTTTGCTGATTCGAGGGACGATGACACGGATATACCATCATCATGTACTGCACCTGTTAGCCCATGTGTACCACTTTCAGCGAGCAGGTCAGCATCATTTTTTTCGATCGATTCCTCATAATATCATCCAAATTAATCGCAGTTAACGATAATCAATAAGCTATAAATTTGTTGAAAATCGGTGATGAATGATTCAATAAATTAGGGATGTTAATATTGTTTTCTCGTTGGATAAGACGAGCAATGGGTCGTTATTATCATTTTAATTCAAAAGAAACAAACGTCATGTAATTGAAGCATCATATTCAGCTCGGTCTCTGAGGGATGGAAGTATTCGCAACGATTGTTATGGAAGCTGAAACCGCGTTATGTGAATTTCAGTCATGCATCTAGTGCGTCATCATCACTTGATTCTGCATGGCGATCTTTGGTTAGTGGTCATCTTTCATTCAACCTGCATGATCTTTAGACTAAAACGGCGATAAAACATTCTGTAGTTGACGCATTAAATCCGATTCAAATGTATTGTCTCTCGAATCGAAACATTTCTCTTGTTCTCTTAGCAATATTCATTGTTCCTCTCGTTTCTCGTTCACGCCACGTGTACTTGCTTACCTCTGCAGATGTTTTTTTTTTGTTGAATGGAAAACCGAAAAATGTAAAATTTATGACAAATATGAATTCGACCGACAGAAAGTCAGTATATGCAGTGCCGAAAAGCACATATGCAGTAATATGCCATGCATTCTTTCGTGCTTAGTTCGATTACAATCTTTTGCAGGACAGCACGACGTGGAAATCAACAGATGGAACAGAGGTCCATTTGAAAGGTACTCGGCTGGAGATGCTTTCTGAGATTGAACGACAAACGCTACAAGTTTTTGCACTACAAAAGCTCAACAGAATGTTACCTAATGTACAAATTGGAAAACCGAAAGGTTATTGATCTACATTTTTGCGCATAGCATTTCGTAAGATTGTTTCAATGTCTGGAAGAATTATTTGGTTTTATATTTCTGTGCTAAAGCTGTCATAAATTCGTTTTAGCGATTTTCATTGCAAAATGTATGAAGCGATAAAATACGAATGAAAAAAATCCTATTCAGCCGATCCGTTTTTCACGAGATCGCTCACGAAAACAAGGTATAATAAGAACTTAGTGAAGAATCATCTTTTACGTAAGCCGTTAGTACGTCGGTCTATTCAGATCCCATTTCTGTGCTGCGCCAAAAACGTCAGAAATTTCTGAAAGCAAGAGGCGCGTTGAATGTCGGCGAAACTAATAGGCGTGCATCGGGATCTTCAACAGACGGTAAGTTGATTATTTGATTTATTTAGGGTGGAATTTAGCTTATTTATTGTTTTGGAATCCTTCAATATCAAAATGATATTAGGAGGTTTGAAAAAATATTTGGATACTAAAGAAGATCACCGTAGATTCATGATAATGAAGGAATTTGAAGATGAAAGGAAGATTTTCGGAATATCGTTGTTGATGGCTATTGAAAACGATCGTAGATTGGATGATGAACTGCGATGTCGATCCTTGGACGAATGTGATCCTGATCCTAATTCAAGTACCTCCTCAAGAAAGAGGTAAATAAATCAATTCATCACATTCGAATGATTCTCAAGTTCCTTTAATCGATCAACGCTTTTCACCATCTCTTGAGGAAGGAAAAAACTCATTTCTTCGGCTCATTGCCATTTCTCTTGAATGCTCGCAACGTTCACCACTCACACTCTTGATTGTCAATGGGCACTCAAATGAAAACTTTTGAATTCATATGCATATTCTTTAAGATTCTTGAAAGATAAGGCAAAATCAATTGTGCGTTCAGAACCAGAGATATTGGTGGCATTAGAGGAGAGTAAACCCATTTTTTCGAAGAAAGATGTAAGTTTACTCCGAATTGCATCTTAGTTGTATAGTTTGCGAGCTTGTCTCGGATAGCGTTACGCTTATACAATAGTCGATAACTTCAAATTGTAATGATTTTCTGATACATCAGCTCCTCTGTGCATCAGCTCCTCGGAACTATCAGAGGATCATGCTCGTGAAATCGCAGATTTTTATGTCGACTACGGTTGCCACTTTGCAACTTTATCATGCAATTACTTATCAGTGGGATTGGATTATATGCTAAGAGTGAAATTACACGATTGATCAGGAAGATGCCTCACGAGCGCTGCCGTCAGGAACGCAAAGTGGTAGTGCGTCACCGTTGATTGCGAGTCGTATGCACCAACAACCACCCACTAAAAATGCGTCCTTCTCCGAGAATCTTCTAACTACGCAGTGTGCTGTCGAAGGATTGTCAAGCTATGCAAATTTAGTAAGCTGATTCGATTCTTTGCAATTACGGCAACTGTTCAACAATAAATGCACAAGACTGGATTGATGTTTGAGATATCATCTAGCGCAGTGTTTCTCAACCTTCCCCTCTCCCGTACCTCCTAAAAATTTTAAGATATCCTTGCACCCCGTACAACATCCGTTTTGTATCTATCATTCACTACATTGAGTGTCTATAGTGCAGATTAGTGTATACCGTTAGAATACGTTGTAGACTTTTCAAAAATATGTACGTTAGAGTCCACCCTCGCCCACTTTACACACATATACGCCTTGAGCCCAATCCTCGCTTACTTCAGTGCATAAAAAATAAAACCTTATCTCGCAACCCGGTTGAGAAACCCTGACTTAGCGTGTCAAGTGGCAATGTATCAGAAGCTGACTTCACTGATAACTTATAACAATCGATATTCAGCAACAGCGATATGCCAGAAAATACCTCACATCAGTCTCAAGTGCATCGTCTTCAATTGATCGTTCGTTGTGTCGTGAAGAATCTTCTGATGCTCATTCACTTCATGTACCACGCATCGTTGCCGACTGCACTGAATATCTCCACAATAATGGTCAATTCTTATATGATATTACATACTGCATTTATTAGCACCTCTTCACGAGTATTAATCTTCTTTCTATAGATTTTAATAATTAGTAATGTATCCTGCTACATAACACTAGTTTATTATAGAGTACTAATTTTACTATAGCATGACAATTGTTCGAGATGTAACCAATGATGGTTGTGAAAATGAATGTATTGCTGAAAAATTCAAGCAGGAATGTTGCATGTCTTGAATAGCAAATGGGATCTTCTGAGATGTTTGCGTGATCGTTGACGGGCGATTAATGATTCCATTAAAAAATTTTTGGAATTCCTCGCAAATATTCAGCCATTTCAGCTTCAACTGAAATCATCATTGGCATTCACACTGCATCTCTAATTGCTAACACCAAAAGGATGCTTGCTTTGAATGTTTAACTTTATTGGTGTCAAGTGAGCAACTAAACTCAATTCAGGAATGAATGCAGTGGGTCTTTTTCGTGTTGCCGGTTCAGCTAAACGCTGTCGGCACCTTCGCAGTGCTCTAGAAAAATCGAGCTCACAAAATCTTCCTCTGCTGGAAATGGTCACTCCACATGACGTTGCCACTTTACTCAAAGAATACTTCAGGGACCTACCCGAGCCACTGTTATCCAAGGACCATTATCACGCATACATAACAGCTGCAAGTAATTTTGTTTTCTCCTTTCATAAGTATTTTTGACACCTTTTCTTTTGTACCGGTCGTGTTGCTCATAAAACTCAAGCAACGACAACAATTTGTTTTTAAAGTAACTAATTCATGCATTGCACGCATATTATATAATATTAACAATTATGCGTTCATTCAACTAGGATCAGCCTTTAAGGATTATATTTTTCCTTCGTCTTTCTTACTATTTCTTGGAAGATTGCGACTGAGTCAATGAACATTCGTGTACATTATTATCAACTTTTATTGAATATTCTTTTAAGAAACAAGCGTCGAAGAACGTATTGAGTGCATAAAAATGTTAATCGCATTACTACCGCAACCAAACATCGATACATTATTTGTTCTACTAAACTTTCTTCACGATGTTGCTGCAAACGCGAATGATCAGCTGAATGACTGTGGTGAAGTGGTACGATGCAATCGTTTGCTTATCATATCAATATTTCTACTGTAACATCGACCAGAATCATTGTCGCAGAAAAAAACTGACTTTCAACCGAGGAACATCACATAGTTGTGTTATGTCAACGAGCGTTCAGCGACCAGGGCATTCTTCAAAATGCACCCGATACAGCGACGCACTCGCTATACTATTATCCTTATTATCCTGGATTAGGCTTAGGCTCAAACTCAGGCACATGAGGGTGAAACTCTGGCGAATGCATCGAATGTCTCCAGCGCATCTCATAGAATGCCAACACTGGGGCTTTGATGAGCTAACCATTTTAGTTTGCATGTTGTGAAAGTATCCTAAGAGCATGGATATTTCAGTCTGAGGTCTGCTAAAAAACGATTGAACATTCACTCAGTAGCTCTAAACGTCTTATTTATAGGTGCAAGTTGGTAATAAAATGGATGCGCGAAACTTAGCGACTATTTTTGCGCCATCAATTCTACGTTCTGATCATGCGAAACCGCATACAACATTAACGGATAACGATGCGCAAGTGACAGTGGTTGAAACAATGATCGAATATGTTGATAGCATATTCACCGTAAATAAATTATTATTGGCACATTGCTTTTGATATCGGTTTCATCATTGAGAAAATTATCATTGTACTAGCCGACTGGACGCGAAAGGAAGTATTTTCAAAGCCTGTAATAGTTTCGGGTAATGAATCTTATCAAAATATTCTCAACCGAACAATTTCGAAGCATATATTTGTAAGAATAGTCCTCTGAAATAAAATGATAATGGTATGCATGGCTTAGCCGTATCTTGTGCTTACGGATGTCGAATGAAAATGTGATGAAGGAATGAATTGCAGATAACGGCTGATACTCAAAGCAGAATATTCAAAAAATTACGTGAAACAGATCCGGATGGGCTAGATAGGATTCTGAATCACTTATCAAGATGTGAACAGTACGTCTGCACCATTAATTCATTACGCTCCATTTGACGACCGAGCCGTGATTGCTTTTCAGATTAATTCACGTCGCTCTACACTTCCAATGTTTCAATTTTCTCACTAAGATTTTAATTCCCTCCTCGTACTTCTCAAAAAAGTTTCAGTGCATATTCTTATACTCATATTGGACGCAGGATTGATGCGTTTTGACAGTGACGTGATATGATATTGCGCAATACCGTCGTTTTTTGGAAGAAATTCACGAATTCTTTTTCATTTGATTTCGCAATAACTGTAATAGTGCCTTATCCATACAATAACCTCAGCTTTTTGTTTGAGAAGTGAGGTCGGATTACAACCATCACCAAACGCTTGTGCAACGATGCCGGAAGAAGATTTTACGGTGGCACAGAATCGCAACAATCCTTCAGTAGAAAATCAGCTGAGGCGTCGATCCAAGGAGGACGATCAATCGGGCAATGGTAAGTTGAAGAGACTTTTCCTTTATCACTCTCGTACTTGTTGATTCTTTACGCTTAATTTGGTCACTTCAAAATTAAGTTGATTTACTCGCAGAAGACTGTGTAAATTGTGATTTTAATTATGCATGATAGGTTTCAAGTGTAACTGTAACGAGTCAGTGAAAAAATTTTGCGACGAGCATACTTGTTAGCTGTACTGATAAGATGCTCAAATATTACCTTGGCATGTGACTAGTAAACAATACCAACTTTTATGTCAGTGATTCTTATGCTCCCGTGTCTCTCTTTGGCCGTATGAGAGGCTGCCATTCCACCCACAACAATGTATTAGCGCAGTTCCTCAACTCTCCCCAGCAATTTATCACATCTTAGCGACAAATCAGGAGATTGATCCGGTGATCAAGAAACTTGTTGCAAAGAATTCCTCACTGGTATCAAAAGAATCAATCTTTAAAATCAAATAAGCATTTTGAAGGCATTATTGGACATTAATGGAAGATTCACGAAAAAAACTCAATCAATTTTGATTTGCAAGCCTTCTGTTTCCTCTGATACCATCAAATTCCTAGCCAGGGGAGAAAGTGTGAGAACCACTAGACTATGTGAATCGCCTTCTGAACTTTCTTCAGTATTTCTGTTGTCAAAACTAATTTGAATGTTGTGGAAAAATGGTTGAAATTCAGTGCCAAATGGTCATCAGTTGTTCGGTTTTGAAGACGGTAGAAATGAGTGAAATTTGTTAATGATCAATTGAAGAATGTTAGGGCTGTGCTCTATCAAATGCCTCTAAATAGCAAAATTGAAACGTAAGAAAAGATGATGCGATGATCGGGATGTTGGTGATGAAAAATAGCAGTCAATGAGGGAGCCGTCAAAAAGGCACAAGTTCAATTGTAAACGACCACGATGTTAGCATCGATGAGATGTTGGGATATCTGATGACAATATTGAACAGTTGAATGGATATGAATAAGGTCACTCAAAAATGAATGCTCAACAGTTTTAGATCAAATGTAAAAAAGAACCGCGTTGCCGTGGTTTTGAAATTGATAGACAGTGTTCGAGAACGACTTGGCCTCTGATTAATGTATGCCGAATGTGGACTCGTGAGTGGTCTCTCCATGAGGGGTTAAGATCTTGAAAAACATGTGAAAACATGAGCAAAGTTGAACTGTATGTAAGCACGATCGGGGAGCATACTGGGAATATTTTCTTGAAATGTGAAGCAATAATTAATGCTTAAAATCAGTCACCATATGTAATTTCTATCACCGATCCCTGTTATGCTTGGCTCATTGATTACAACAAAAGTGAACTATAAAGAAAATCAAGTACTGTTGAGAACATTATGGAGTATTAACAGTAAAAAGTTCCGTAACTTAGGCGGATTATTACCCAACTACCATTGGGTAGTATTTTCGCCACCATGGACGATTCCATCCCCTTCTACGCTCTCTATGCTTATAGTACGAGTAAATAAATAAATAACTTAATGATGGTTTAATAAAGGAGTGTGCAACAGTCTGCATCTATCTAAAAATGTGAATACTTTCCAACGATTCTTTCTCACAATCAGTGAAAAACCCTTGAAATGATTGCAAATTTTGATCTAGCTCATTGGTTTTTTAATTATCAGTTGATATCGACTGGTGAATATCACATGAAATGGTTACAAACTGTCAATATATAAGTAAGCAAAAAATTATTCATTGCTTGCCTTGTTACCATTTGGATCATCGAATGGCACTCGAAACGGACCCTTTACCTTACCTTGCTCACCTAGCTTTCCGCAACTTGTTAAAATCAGATTGGGATCAGGGCCATTATGCCTCAAAAATTTGAGTGCAGCATGTTATCAATCGTTCATATCCCTATTTAGATGGGCAATCAGTGCAAAACTACGACTCCCATTTAACATGTGATGCATTCTTCTTGGTGGCTCAGCTAAGCGTTGTTTTTTCAGTCTGTCGCTGAATTTGATTTGTACTTTGGTTCATTCAATGAATTTATTAATTTATGTTTGAGGCAGAATCCCCAAACGATTTGCAGTACCACCCGATAAATCGCGCATCACTTGAAAGTGCATAGTTAATTAAATGATAACCGAAAATTCGCCAAGTATGTCAAAAATTACCAAGCGATTTTAAGGAATTTCGTTAACATTAGTGATTTTAGTGCGCGTAATCTTAAATAATTCATAAATAAATATGACACCGGAGTGGAAAATTGACACCAACTTTCCACAAAGATATATAGAATTTTGGATTCGTTCTCATCGTATTGCTTTCTAAGCACTGTAGAAGAACTCATTCTACAAAAACAAGCCTAGAATATCTTGTGATCTTTTGTTATGGGATTCTAGAAAATCAAATCTTAAATGATTACGTTTTTATAGTGACTGACTGGATCATCGTATTCTTCATTTTGCTGTTTATTTTCGTAATTCGCTTTCAACATCGATCGACTGTTAGCAGATCCATCAAAGCTTATTGCAGGGAAAAGAGAACGTAATGATGAAGAGACGTCGGATGAGTTGCATTGTGCTGCAATATCTTCTCGAGTAACTCCAATGAGAAGTATGGCGGATGCGACGACAATTGCTGCCAGAGACAGTGCTTTAGGTGCAAGACGTCGTCTGAGAAACGTCATAAGAGTACTAACGACCGCAAGGCTTCGAGTAAGACGAACACCAAACTCATCGTTAACATAGTCATTCTGTTCCGCACACCTGTGAAACAGCCAAAATTACAGATGTCATCTAAGATGAATTATGAACACCGATCATTCAGTACGATATTCATACAAATGTATTACATCTACAAATTGGTTGTTCATTACAATGCACATTTTTTCATACTGCATTCGCTAAGAGATGAATGAATACATGATGGCGATATCATGAAAGTTTACTACAAAAATTGTGAAATTGCCTGACGATGAAAATCAGTGTAAAATGCTCGTAAAAATGCTTTTAATACATATTTCTTATTTGTTCCACTCAAACATTTTTGACGATCAACGCACAGCCTTTTGATTATTTTGCTCTGAAAGTGACTGTTTGGATAATGTTTACGCTTTGAGTGATTGTGTCTTTCATAATTATTGTTGATTATTCCTATCAACTGTTTCAACGGTGTTTCTTTTTGCGCTTTACGTCAATGCAAAAGCAATACGAAAAGCTTCTACTCCACTCTATTTTCAGTCATTTTCAGAACAACTAACACACAAATTGATTTTTGAAGCTGACGAATTAGTTGGCAACAAAATATGACTGTTTTGTTTTATGGAACAATCAACAAAAAATATGAACGTTTTATGATACACAGTACTTTGGTGATAATATTTGAGAGAAGCGTCACATCGCTCGTCAAGAAGTGCCGTTTACATACTCTACTTCGATCTCTGTATAATTCCGCTTCAGTTTCCGTATGCTAACTCTTCATCATATGTTCAATCTCGTTCTGTTTCTTTTTTCAAAGTTCGGAATATTATTATATGCTCGCTTACCTGTGCTCAAAGACGTATGACTCCTAAAAAATATTATTGTTCCGATTATGCAAACGAGGTTACAACAGTTTGAAATTGTACGTCCATCTGAGATATGACAGAGGACCACGCCACTCAGCGATCGGCATTCCCGAGATGTACGAATCAAACGGACGTCCTTTCAGCACGCGTCACATCGGCATTGCCATTTCGATACGCCATATTTTTTTCTGTCAATGAGTGCTACTTAACAACAGTTTCCGGTTTTATAAAATAATATACATTCAATAGATTTACATTTATTACAATCACATTGCGATTTTTGCAATGGAATAATGCATAAAATCAGTGAGGGGGTACCAATTTCAGAATCAATCCTCTTCATCAAAGCCAAAACAACTATCACTGAGAAATCTTCACATCACATTTTTACGCTTCTTTTCATCAGTGTCTTATCCATTGAAATCCAGTGCTTCTCTCTCTCTCTCTCAAGAATTGTTTCTGTGTAAGACATTGCATATACCAATCTAAATACATCTTCCTTACCCTGAAGTTCTTATCATTCGAATTGAAAATACATTCTTGAGAATGTTATCATTAGTAAGTATGGAGAGTATTATTGTCGTATTTTGCTTCAGCCAAAGTAACTTTCGATAATTTTTGGCTCAAGACAAATCATTTATTCGCAAAAATCATATGAAAAAATTAGTATATGTAAATTTATATAAGTACTTCAAGTATGTTGATTTGGCTTCGTTTCAGTGGTGGAAATTGTTTCTGAATTTTGTTGAGATATAATTTGAATTTTTTTTGTTGAGAGTAAGATTAACATTCCCCAACGAATTTTCGCACCAATAAAAACTTCGAGCTAAAAGAAAACTCAATCTAGGATTGAACGAACGTTGCAAACAAGTATATTTCAGCCGTTGTTTGTGAGCAACAAGAATGGTCACTAAATGTCACTTAGTGACAGAAAAAGGGCGAAATGATATGCAATGAGTACAACGTGTAGTTGTCATTAATAAGAGACCAAATGAAGAGTGTGAGTGAGTGCTCTTATATCAAAACATATCATCTGTTTTATTAATTGTATAAATTTCGCAAGATATGTTAATGTACTGCGATAAATTCCAACATTGCTGATTGTTCATAAATATTTATCACGTCAAGAAATTTGAGTTAAAATACAGCGAGTTTCGCTGTATTTTTAATCAAACTGTTTTTTTTTTGGAATCATGATAAGAACAGACGCAATTTCGTTGATTATGATGCTATAGAATAAACAACTTCAAGTGGTGATGAATGTTTGGCAGATGCAGTGCAAGAAATCTTCTCTGCAGCGAATACCCTGTTGAAGTTTTGTGAAATTGCGAGTAGAGTTGTTGCTAATAATTGTATAATCAGCATGACTCTTCTCATAAGATTGAGTGTTAAATCGAAAATAGAATATCACATATATGAAAATAGTTTTTGCTTCCACAATTCGATTGCTTTGGTTTTCTAAGGATCTACTTTTACTCAAGCTTATAACAAAGAATAGTCGTTATAAAAGGTGTGTTCATCGCGTGTTACGTGAAACACTTCCATAAGAAACTTTTTTCTAGTTTCTTCATCAACATATACAAAACAAATACAAATATGGCTGTCAGAAGTGCATCTCGAAAAACCAGATAGTATTTAAAAGTGTCAAAAGAACCGAACCCAAGAATTCCAGCAAGACTGACCGCGTCCGGTTATTTCGCCTACTGTTATTTCGCTTAATGGATTTTTCCCCAAATGAATTTTTCGCTTAATGGATACTTCGCCTAATGCGCGTCCGAGATTATTAGCCTAATGCGCACTTCGTATAAAATTCAAAAGTTGTCCGAATCGACCCTATCATCTCATAATCTGCTTATAGAGTGTTTGTACACTAAAACCTGCTGATTTTCTTGACTTTGTTGGGTATGGATTATGTTATATGGTTTTCTTGGCTTTAGATTACATAAAACTCGTCTCGAAAGTTTTTGGTCTTCCTTGTGAGATTGCTGCTTAGGCCTAGGCTGAGGTTGATGCTTAGGCTGGGCTAAGGTTGATAATTGGGTGTAGACTGAGGTATGCTTTGGGCTAGGGTGAGGTTGATGCTTAGGCTTAGGCTGAGATTAATGGCTGGGCCTAGGCTGAGGTTTATATCTAAGCCGCGGCCGACCCTCTGGTAAAGCTGTGGGTAAACGTGAAACGGAGTTCTCTTTCTGAGACATCCGTTAGGCGATCTGCCCATTAGGCGACATGTTCATTAGAGGAAATGTCATTAGGCGAAATAGTCATTGGGCGAAATGTCGATAGGCGAATTTGTAACATTTCATAAGATTGTGCGATCAAAACTGTCGCTTAAAGCTGTCAGTTTAGTGACTGCATTCATAAAATGTGAGGTGCTGAAGTTGAGAGATCAATCAAAGAAAGAATGTGAACTGAAGGCAAAATGTAAAATATTACCAGGTATTGCTATTAAACGTTTCTGGCATCATTATTCATGTAAATCCTGGTGATGTCATGCTTATAAGATATAGAAAAACAAAAGTGCGTATTTTTAGAGATGTATGAAATGAAGAATGTGACAGTAAATAGTGACAATTATACAGTTGGATTGTCGGCATGACAAAAAATTATGCGGAAATGGTCAGTAATAAAAAGGTAGAATAGCAATGAAACGTGTCAATCAGCATTTCAAATCAATCATGTTGATAGTCAACATTTGACATTATCGTTCAAATAACGCCACTTTGTGCTACATAATTACCGTCGAATGCTTCGCTAAATGCTCCAATAATACCGGAGGTGATCGCTCAGATTTTTGGTAAGCCACAACACACTTATATCAACAAAGCCATATAAACATCAGTGCCATTTAAAACTGATGTTATGATGTTCGTTGGTATTACTTTTAATCGTTCTCTTGCCCATACTAGCTACTGCAAAAGTCGTTCTATTTGCAAACAATGATTCATATATTTGCCCAAATTTTTCTTCGAACAAAATCTTACCTTTCCTAATTCATTCGTATAAAGTACGTATTTCTCAAAATTCAGGCAATTTAGTGATAAACGGAATAAGGAATTTCAAATCTACTGTTGCATTTTGTAGTTTCAATAAACTTTGGCTTGTTGAAATTCAGATTTATTTTCCTTTAAAACATTGTGTTCGTGAGAATACGACTGTATCATGATCTGTTTCAACTCCTCACTTCTTCGCATTATCTATCTACCGTATTATATAATTGTTGATCAACTATTCTAGTTATTCGCTAGGTAGCCACTAATTCACTTTCGTTGCTTGTTGCCAATGAGAAAATTAAAGACTATCCATCGTTCAATAGTTTTCATTTCATTTTATTGGTATAAATACATTTTCCAAACCGACCTACCTGAGAGGTATAATCTCAGGATCATTGAAATGCAGGATAATGAAGCGCGATTCGCTGAAATGACTATTTTGCTTAGCCATAGGGAAGACGCCGACCAATTTCAATCGGACTTGACACGAGCTGAGATATCGTCTATTTTTGCTCAATTTGGCGGTCGCTAGAAGTTTCTCACATAATATCTCATGCACCTTTTCATTTTTGTTATAGCGTTCGCACCCAAATAACAACAACTGAAATTGAGCAATACATCAGAAAATTTGAAGTAAATAACCTTCCCTCATTATTAGTTTAACGTTTGATAATGTGCCCGGTTTCTTGTTGCACAGATACAAAATCAAAAAATATATAACTATACAGTAAAACAAACACCACTTAAATGCAATCAACAACACAGTTATTACGCCTCTCTTCAACCACATTCCAATAACAATACTTATCCTGCAGCTCACATCTGCAGCCCTGTAAAGAAGTGCATTACATGGTGTTCGTTTATGGCCAAAACTCCATAACATTGCGATCTGTACAATCTTTCAACGTTTCAAAACTTGTAGTTGATATGATTCGATCATAACAACAGGCCTTATTTCATAACTGATCGTTACAATGAATTCTTTCCTTACAATGCAATATTCACGGTTCTTGAGAATGCACATACTTGCAGTCGTTTCCGTAGTTACTGACAGAATCTTCACCCCAAACGAGATCAGCAGTATACTTTAGCTGGATTTAGCAAGCCGTCCTACAACTGCTTCACTGAGGTGTTCTCACGATCTTCAGGATAACTTTTCATGACTTTAACGCAACCTGTGAAACTCAATCGT